TGTGGGAGACGGTAAGGAAAATTAAAAAAGACCTGTCTTTTTGGGCCAAAAAAAATAAAAAAACCTAATAAAAAGCTTTAAAAAACCTTTTTCCCCCTCACCAATTTCCCAGCCCCGGGTTTTGCCCCTTTTTCACAAGCTGGTAGTGGTGTTTTTTGGGCCCACCCCCCAAGGGCCCAAAGGGGAAAAAATTTTTTTACTAACGATAATTTGCTCCACTACCATTATCCAGAAGCAATCCCAAAAACGAAAGATAACAGTTTGGGATGGTCTCAAGAGTTTTGGTGAAGTTTTTTTCCCATGTTGGCTTTCCCATGAGGACAAACAGATAAAGGGGGTCAAAATTTTAACCTCAAAATTTTGGGAAGGGTTAAAAGGGGGTTAGATGTACACCTAAATTTAAAAAACTGCCTATCACCCTCATCTCGGGGAAAGTAGTAAGAAAATTTCCCATCAAACTCTTAAGCCCAATGATCCCCCACCCCCTTATTGTATGAATAAAAACTAGTGATTTGGGAAAAGGGTACCCCCCTTTCTCTTTTTTCCCCACCCCAGGAAAGCACCCAAGAATTTTTTCGTTTCACCCCTTTTTGGGAGCTCGCAATGGTAAACCATGGGGGGGCCCCTAACTATTCTCAAGGAGAAATTGGGGGCCCGGGGAAAATTTAGGCTTCCCCCCCCGGGAAAGATTTTTCCCTTTTTCAGGAAACGATTGGACCAGGAAAAGACGTTTGGCAGCAGACAACCCAAAGCTACCCAGGGGGCCTTTGAACAGTGGTACGCCCAAAAGGGGCACCTCCTCCCCCCTTTCCCGTGTTGGAGAGGAATGTTAGTTTTTGGACCCGGGTTTTCCGGGAAAAATGCCTTGGCTACAAGATTTGATGGCCCCTTTTTTCATCACAGGCTTTTTTGGTCCCAATTATGAAATTTTTGGGAAGCCTGGCCTTTCGCAAATCAAAAGGACTTTTCACTTTAACCGGGTTAAAAAAAAACCATTCTAGGGCGGGATTTTGCTGCCATCCAAATTGAGTTGATGATCCCTGAAAAACTTCCTGAAAACAACAGAATTAAGGTTTTGTGAAAATTCAGCTATCTTGCAAAACCCCTTTTGGCACACATGAAGGGACTCAATGTACGGGGAGCCTGTGACTTGGTTTATTTCTCCAAAAATTTCCAGATTTGTTTTTGGGGGGGCCCAAAGAATAAATTGCCTCCCCCCCTATGTTTAAATCAGGGAAGCTGTTTTTCCCAAAAAAAGGGAGGGTTCTTACCGCAAGAACCCAAAAAAACAACTTTACATGGAGGAAGAAATGAAATTCCCCCCTTCAAAAACCAATTTTTTAAGCCTAGCGAGAGTCGTGGGCATCTCCATGCCCGATGGTTTCCCAAACCTAATGGACCTAAGCGTATGTGCACCCACCAACACAGGGTAAATGAAGTAACAAAGGGGAATGTTTCCCTTTTTCCCTGTTTTGATTAAAGGATTGATGCTGTGGGGGGGGCAAAGTTTGTGAGCAAACTGGACCTTTCTTTAAAAGGGTTTTATTATCAGATCCCCTCACCCAGCAAGCCAAGGAAATTTTAACCTTCAACACTCCCCGAAAGGGTTTTTTTCAAATGAGTAAATTCCCTTTTTGGGGGTTAAAAAAAGCTCCCCGGGCCCCCTTTCCCGCATCGAATAAAAACTGCAAAAGGGTTGGAAGGTGTACGGGCCTATCTAGATGATAAATTGGGGGTATTTTAAATAACCAGTGGGAACTCACTTTCAAATTACAAAGTTGTTTTTTTAAAATTTTTGCCCAAGCCAAAATAACCATCAATCTCAGCAAAAATGAGTTTTTGGGCCAAGCCATGTACCCCCTTTTTTAGGGAAAAAAAATTGGGCAGGGGAAATTTTCCCCCGTTAATTCAAAAGGGGGAGGCCATTATTTAAATTTTTTCCCAAAACCACAGAAACGGAAGGGAGTGATGAGGGTTTCCCGGCTGGGGGGTTATTACAGACGGTTTTTGCCCCAAAACCCCTCCCAGGGAACGTCACCCCCGACAACTTTGACCATTCCCCAAAATTCAATTTTACGGGACAGCAAAATGTGACAGGGCCCTTTTAAAAAAGTAAAAAGCTGTTTGGGAATGCTCCTATCTTGGGAAAAATCCGAGTTTTAATGCCCCTTTTCCCCTACAATGGGTGCCCAGTGATGTAGGGGGAGGTGCAGTTTGTTGCAGGGGGGATTTGAGAGAAAGCCTTCACCATTTTTTACCACTCAGGCCCAAAATTTAAAAAAACAACAAACGTGGTTTCAACTGTAAAAAAGGAGGGTTTGGGTTTGGGGGTTGGCTGTGCAGAAAATTTTAAGTTTATAAACAGTGCTTTTCCCCCCACCTGTAAAAGTGTAAAAGTTTACCAAAAAACCCCTTAGTTTTTTTTCAAAGAATGAGAAACCACAAAAAAAAAACTCTTAAGAAGGGCTTTGGTTCCTACAAACCTTTAATTTGGGAAATTTAAAAAATAAAAAAGGCCAGAGAAAATTTTTGGCCCGATGCTCCCCCTCACAACCTTTTAATTTGGGAAATTAAATTAAAAAAAAAGGGGTCAGAGAATATGGGTTTCTGAGCTCTCCCCTAATGTTTCATGTAGATGCATGGGGTGTACTTTGTACCCTAGTGTTTTTCATGTGCTGACCTTTTTGTTTTTTTCAGTGGGGAACTCTCAGCAAGCCTGAGGACTCCCAAACCCGCCACTAACTGTGAAGGAACGAGTCGGACCAAAAATGTGGGCGGGTTAGTGTATAGTTTCATATTTTGGGAACTTGAGGCAGAAGCGACAACCTTCGATAACATGAGACGTTCTTTTTTAAAAAAGGGATGTGGAATTTTCCCTTGGGGTGCCTATGAAAAAAAACAGCCCAACCATTTGTCTTTGTGGGCCCTTGGACCCCTCCATGTTCGTGTCAGCCTCCACTTCATAAGGCTGGAGGGTGTGTGTGGGGGTGGGACCTTGGAAGTTGGGGGTTTAGGCCTGACCATGGTTTGGGGTCGGATGTTGACTGGGAAATCTCACGGGGTTTTGGGGTTTGGCCACCAAAGAGAGACACCTTGAATTTTTGGGGAAGTTTCCTCCTGGTGTACACCTGACTGCTCCGGGATTGGGGTTTTACTCTTTTCCCCCTGACAGGGAAAATGCCATCCGGAGTACCCGTTTTCTTCTGGATTACCGGGAGGGAGAGGCACCCCTGTTTGGGGCCGGCTTTCACAGTGAGCATTGTGTGCAATTTTCATTGTAATGTATACCGTTTTTAAAAACCACTAAAAATGTAAATAGTTAAAAAACCCTTGAATTTGGGGTATGGTTTAAAAAATTTTTTTTCTAAAAAAAACCTCTGCAATCTGTTTCCCGTATTTTTCCTCCAGGGTTTTGAAGGGAGGGTGGAAAATGCATTGTAATCTGGGGAAAGGGTTTAGTGGAGCCCCCACAAATCGTAGAAATTTCCAGGGGAGTAAGTCACCCTTTTTGTTTAAAAAGCAGTAAAGTGAAGAGATTTTTGGTGCTGGAAATACGTAACATTTCTGGTTTGCCTTGCTTACCACCTTCAGACTTAAGCAATTTTTTTTTTAATTTCTACCGTATCCTGAGGGGGCACGGCTAGCTTTTGAGAAAACTTCATTTTTGGAGGGGGGGGTGTTATGGGGCCCAAAAGGGCCCCCCCCCTGTATTTATTAAACTGTTAAAAAAGTTACCTGGAATACCTAATTTTATTGAATTGATGGGGACTCACTCTAAATCCCCCCAAGGGGAGAACACCTTAAAGGGTTTTTAAGGCAGCTGAATCAAGCCTGGGTTTTTTCATATAATAGGGTTTTTACTAAGACACACACACCACACAATTTAAAATAGTAGTTTTTTAAAGTTGTATTTTTTTTTCGAAAAAGAAAAATAAGGTGTGGAAAAATTTGGGGAACTAGAGAATTGTTCCTGGCAACAGTCTTTTGTTTTTTGGTGGGTGTGGGAGGAGCTTAGCTAGGCTCCTCCCTCTCTCTCTCTCTCTCTCTCTCTCTCTCTCTTGGTGGACTTCAAGCTGGTAGGACCTCTGGGTCCTTCTTTCTATTTTTTGGGGCATTATGTGTGCTCCAGGGGTGAGTTTTTATAACTTAAGTTGTGGCCACCATACCCAGAGTGACTAAAGTGTATCAAAACACTGGTTAGCCCAGAGATTAGTCATGAAGAGAGATGCTGAGATGCACCATATGGGAGAACAGCTAAGGGGTGTGCAGGCTTATTTTTTGAATATGTGAGTACTGTAATTGTATATTCTGTACATATCTATTTAGAATACAGTTATATTTTTTATAGAGATGGTTTAAATAACCTGTGAAGAGGGCTGGTGAAAAGATTTCAGAGAGAGGATGATCAACCATGTATGTATTACCCTAGACATATAAGGCCTTTATGTAAAAGCTACCCCCACACTAGAACATGTAGTGAGAACCTTACTATCAAAGTAATAAGGGACAACAACATAACAGAGGAATGTAGTGCTAGCTGGTCTGGTAATGTAGAGGACTGTAGTGGCAGCTGGTCTGCTAACGTAGAGGAGTGTAGTGCCAGCTGGTCTGGTAACGTAGAGGACTGTAGTGCCAGTCACTTGGTACTCAGGAGCGAAACGTTTTCTAATATGTCCTAGTGTTTGCTTACGCGTTTTTCTAAACCTCGTTGTCGGTGAATATCAAAATGGTATTTATTAGCAAGGTTTATACCACTCCAAATTATAGATCCACTCACTGATAGATGACGCTTCCACCAAGTAGAACAACAACAAGAACCAAGTGAAAAAAAAAAATGAAGAGAACAACGAAATAAAAGGAACATGGAAGTGAAAAAGAAGTGAAGAGAACAACAAAGTTAAAAGAACAGTGAAAAGTTGAAAAAGAAAAACAAACTGAAAAAGAGGAGGAAGATGATGAGGAAGAGAAAGAAGAGGACTAGGTGTAGACGGGAGTCTTACCATTGGAGTGGATATGGTTTCCTTCAGTCTTGGCCAGGGAGGAAGAGAGCTTACGGTTCTCATCCTGAAGGCGAGACACCATCTCCACCAGCTCATGGCTTTCCTCCCTCAGTCTCTCTTCGATGTCTTCCAGCTCCTGTGGAAAGAGACATACATGCTTTAGTTAGGCTGTGGTGGCGCTGTTTGAGGTGTAGTGGTGGTGAAGGTGTGGTGCTGCTGTTTAAGAAATGAAAGGGTCATTAAAGAGTACACAGGTCATGCCGAAGAGCAGTACCAGATGTTAGCAAAAACGATGATTTTGCACAGCTGCCATCAGTATAAAAATTCCCTGGTGTTGCTGTGTTTGACAAGAATCATTAATGAAAAGAATACAATACCAAGAAATTGGTATTGGTATGTGCAAGACAGAAATACAATTTTAGAATACACCATGCCAACAGTTTGTATACAACACTGGAAGTTCGGGGTTATGGTATTTCCTTCAGGAGACTTTTCGTCTTCACAACTGATAAAGGTCCTGGTAGACGAAATGTCTTCACAATACAATTTGTGACCTGCACTTAGCTCAGTGGTGACCTGTACTAAGCTCTATGAAGATCTGTCCAGAGTGTTCTCCGTGAATCTGCACAAGATGTCCTCTCTTGAGCAACTCTACCAGCAGCTTAAAGAGGATGGACTGACCCCCATCGCCCCACGTTTTCCCCCTTTTTTTTGGACTGATGAAGCCACTGTGGGGGCGAAACTTTCCCCCAATGAAGATCCCCCAAATTTCACAGTGCCCCTAATTTATCAATATGTCGGTTCTCTGAATAAATTCATCTACACCCCTGTCAAAACACTGCAACTTTTTGCGATTTAATACGGGGGAAATTTCCTTTGCTTGAAAAACCCTTGGGCACGACCTACTTCCATATGGAAAAAATTTACACCACCTACAAACTGCTGCACCTTTTCCCCCTTTGGGTATTAAGCCACTTCTCCGCTCATATGCGTAGAAATTCTATTCAAAAATTGAGGGATTTTTAAAAACGAAGTTCGGGTCAGCTTTGCAGGGGAAGGAAAACAAAAAAGGGAAAGTGTTTCGATTTCCCTTCTTAAAAAGTGTGAACTGGTTTTAAATGCTCAAACCTTTGGTTTTTTAATTAAACGGGGCTTTGGGAGTTTGAAAATTTTTGAAAGGGGGGGGGGGGGGGGGGGAAATAACGGAGCCAGGTGACAGCAAAGGGAAAAATGGTGGGAAAAAACGTTCGGCTTCAATCTTCCATGTATGGGTTTTCCGCCAGGACTGCACTGGGGTTGCAAACCCCCTTTGGTTTGGGGTCCAAAAGTCGCTGAAAGAGGGTTTTTTCGAAAGAAAACACGAAAACCCCAAACACATATTTTCCAAAAAAGGTTTCATGAATTCGCTGGCTGAATGGGAAAGCAAGGAATCGCCCAATTTTCCGCGCAAAGTCGAGGCTTGTGTAGTATTTATTTTTGGAAAAATAGGAAGTCACGCCCAAGGCTGAAAGTTTCTTGTTCCTGATGTTATGTTGCGAAGGGCGATTGAGAAAGATCACCTGAGTTTGAGATGTGCGGACTGTTTTAGTGCCCAAGAGTTTAGAGAGGTTTTTGGGCAAATTCCCGAGAGCTGGGGGGGAAGGGGGCACTGCCTTTTCCCGGGGGATATGGGCCTCAGTGGGTACCACCCCTTGTGACCCTTTTGGGCGGGCCCCGTACTTTCTGGCAGGTCGGGGTTCCCTGGGAAAGGTGGGCGGGAATTTTTCTTCCCTTGTTCTGACCCCCTCAGAAGGGGGGGCGAGTCCTTTGAAGAAATTTTTAGTAAGGTTGCCCCTTTGGTTTAAGTTGTGAGGGGTTTTGTGGGTAACTGGGTCTTTAAAAGTAATTTGAGCATTTTGTTCCTGAAAATCTTCATGTTCTGAAAAACAACACCACCCCCTTTTATCCCGGTGGTGACCCTTTAGTCTTTTCTTCTGCTAAACCTTTGATTGAATTAAATGAAGTCAGGTATGCCTGGGGACCCTGCGTGTTGAGATGGCTGCGAGATGTTTCCCTTTGGGGGGAAGATACCCTTTTTTTTGGGAAGTCGAAGTCATTTTTTCCCCGGGAATTTTTGGCAAATAAAATTTGAGGCTTGTTTTGGTTCGTAATTCCTGTTGCAATTTGAGGCCTAAGCTGAGGGCTTCAGTTTCTGGGGTTTAAACAGGGGACGAAAATGAAAGATTTTTAAAAATTTTTCGGGTTTTCCCCCAAAAAATTTTTCCCTTTTACTTTTATCGCAGAGTGTTTGAAAGTTTCCTAGTAAGTCGATCTTCTTTTGGGAACATTCCTGGGAAACCCTTTTCTGCAAAATTTTTCGTGGTGCGTCTTTTTCATGTTGCCCCGGAGTTTTTGTGCCTAGTGCCTGGCTTGGAGAAAGTTTCCCTTTGTAGCATTGTTTTAAAAATCATCTGCACACTCCCTTTAAGGTAGGTCCGAGCTGTACGGAGGGAAAAGGGGGTTTTATGTTGGGGAATTTGAGGGGGAGTAATCTTGGTAAGACCATTTCTTAAACCTCCAAAATTCCCCAAAAAGGAAAATTTCAAAAACCCAAAAAAAGACCTCAATTTTCATCACCAAAAACACAAAACACAATGAACCCCCGACTTCCCCAAAAAAGGGTATCTTTTAAGGCATCAACTCAGCAGCCCCTCTCAAAACGCAGCTCCCCAATTTATTACCTCGACAATTTCATCAATGCACCCCAAAGGGGTTTGCAGAAGACAGAAACCCTCCCGGGTTTACCACCGCTGTAAAGGAGGTGGGTTGTTACAGAACACTGACGATTACAGGAACAAAAAGGTCAATCCCACTTAATGACCCAGATACCACAAAACCCCTCACAAATAAAACCCAAATGGAAAAAACCTTAAAAAAAACTTTTCTTCAAAGGACCGCCGCATTCTGAGGGGGTCAGAACCCAAAGGGGAAAAAAACTTCTGCACACCATGGCCCCCCAACCCCGGGCCCGCCAAATGTAAAGGCCGCCAAAAACTCCCAAGCCGGTAACCCCCTGAGGGCCCCTATCCTCGGGGAAAAGGGAGTGCCCCCCACCAGCTCTCAAATTTTCGCCAAACCCTCTCTAAACCTTGGGCACCCAACATCCAGCACAACTCAACACTCGGTGGGTCTTCCCCAAACGCATTCGCAACATCAAAATCAGGAAAAGAAACTTTCCCCGCCTTTCCCTGACTTTTCCCCATTCCCAAAGTACCTACTAAACAAGCCAGCCCAAACTCTTGCGCAGGGAAAAATTTACATTCCCCTTGATCTTTCCCCCTTTCCCCCCACGACTTCATCGACCTTTTTAGCTATGGTTGGGCCCTTTTCGTTTTTCCCCTTTTGAAAAACACCTCTTTTTAGCAGACTTTTGGACTACCCATGGGTTTTTGCCACTCAGTGCTCCCCGGGGAACCCATAAAATGGAACATTTGAAGCCGAACGTTTTTTTCCACCATTATTCCTTCGTCTGTCACCCGCACCGTTATGTTACGACATTTTCCTCATAACTCCTAAACGCCTTTAACGGGAAGCTCTTCAAACAAACTCAACCAGGTCCCACCTTCAATCCAGTTCACACTTGAAGAAGAAATCGCAACCCTTTCCTTTCCTTGATGTCCTGCCTTTTGCAAAGCTGACCCAAAAGAACTTCGTTTTAAAATCTATCGAAAACCCACCAACCAAAAAGAACTCTCCACTTCTACTCTCAAAACCCTGACAAAAAAAACCAAACGTGGTGTTTAAAATTTTTGGTTCCCTTTCCGCGTTTCACTCAATCTGCAGCAACAAGTTCCTTGGGGAAAATCACATAATTGAACAAAAATTTTTTAAACTCCACTATCCTCGTCACTTCATCAGAGGGGCCGGCCCGAACCCGGGGGCATTAAAAAATCTTCAAACCCCCAGAGAAGACACTGCCAGAAGAGATACATAGCCCCCCCCCACCAACCCAATTTCCCAAAAATGTTTTCCCAAAAATCTTTGCCAAAACATCATTCCCAATACCCACCTTTCCCCAAAACCCCGACCAACAAGGAAAATCACCATAGTAGGCAGGACAAGCCTCCCTCCCTGCAGGGGTATACAAATCCCTTTTAAGACTGCAACAAGTTTTAAAAACGTGGGGTTAAAACAAACAAGGGACCTCCAAACACGTATTTCAAACACCAAAACCAAGCAGGTCCCGGGGCGACACAAGGGGAAAGCCTGCGTACAACACCGTAATTCACACAACCAAATTGATAAACTACAGAAACTCAAAACTTATCGCCACAGAAGACAAAAACTCAATACCGAAGAATCCTGGAATCATCACTTATTTCTATATCCGACAACTTCAACCAGAATAGTGGCTTCTATAACATAGCTGAACCACTTGCCAAGAAACTTCTTCATCGCTATCCCACATAAGAACAGTGTAGAAGGTCTGCTCACAAACTTATCCAATCTCCTTTCCAAGCTACCCAAGTTTTTAGACTCTATAACCCCACTCGGTACATCATCAGATGCAGCATTCTTCACCTGACCTCAGCCGGACTATAAATACTCGCGTTCCTTCCACCCCAGGTAGTTCTGTTTGTGACTTGAAAAAGCCCACTGTGTGGGCGAAACGTAGTCAATAAAGGATCACATTATACTGCATTTGTGTTTATATTGCCATTGTGTCGGTATTTTATACCATTTATTTCAAATAACTCCCGTACCCAGTGACACCAATCAAACCCAGCCCCTCCCACTCATATATTTGTCCAGTCTCTTCTTAAAGCTACACTATTTGTCCAGTCTCTTCTTAACCCTTTCAGGGTCCAAGGCCCAAATCTGGAGTCACGCACCAGTGTCCAAGAATTTTCAAAAAAAAAAAATTGTTATTTTTTCTTATGAAATCGTAGAGAATCTTTTTGTGAAGGTAATAAAACAAAAAGTACGAAATTTGGTGGAAAATTGACGAAATTATGCTCTCGCGAATTTTGATGTGTCAGCGATATTTACGAATCGGCGATTTTGCCGACTTTGACTCCCATTTTAGGCCAATTACATTATTCCAGTCAACCAAATTCTTAGCTATTTCACTAGTATTACTTCTATTCTATCGATTGAGCACAAGAAATCGCCAAGTCAA